AGGGGAAGGAAACCCCGGCTTCTTCTGCCTGCCCTCCACCACATCCTGAAATGGAAATGCCAGGCAACTTCTAATTATGAGCTGCTTTTTTTGAGCTGGTGGGTTCGCTCTAGTACTGTACTTTGGTCCGTTTTCAGCATGAGCAATCGTTGGGAGAGCCTTAAATGGTCCTTCAGTTTTAAGGTACAGGAGAACCCGCATCGCCGTCCATGTGTGCCCCCCACCGTGAATGTCAAAACCCCGCAGATAACAGCGAACACTAAACATAGCACCGTCTCTGGCTCCTGTAGTGGCTAGATCTGGTAATACATGTAAAAATACCATATTTTTACGTGTATAAGATGCCTCCATGTATAAGACGCCACCCCCACTTTTCTAATCCAAATTAAGAAAAATTGCTTTGCTAAGGATTGCTTTGATCCCTGCTTTCTCCTCCACTTGTTTTTGTTCTCTCCTCAGCTTACTTCAGTGTATAAGAAGACCCTCAATTTTTAGTCTAAAGATTTTAGACAAAAGTATAGTCTTATAAAGTACATGGAAAAATACGGTACTTACCCCTCACCCGATTCCCCCCCCTTTACCATATTATGAATGGTGTTCATGATTATCCACAGTTTTCAGCATCCGCAAGGGGGCTTGGACCGAATCTCCCGCAGATCCAGGAGACCAACTGCATATAAAGAAGGCGTCGAGGGAAGTGGGGTAGAAACAGGAGGCTGAAGGCCAAGAAGGCAGGACGGTCCTGCCCGAGTTTGGACCCCCCAAGAAGCAGGACTTCTCAAAGAAGACCCCTGGAGTGGGAACTGTATTGGGTATATCTACACTGAAAATGCCATCATCATCATCATCTTAGAACAGCAGAGGTGGAAGGGACCTTACGGGCAGCCCATCCAACCCGTCAAGGAGGCACAGCAGGGATTCAAACTCCCCACCTATAAGCGCATAGGAAGCGGCCGAAGGAGCCACTGTTTTCCATACCTTGTAGGATGATGTTAGCGGGGGTGGGGGTTGGGAAGAGAGGGTTTGCTGGGACAGGACATCCCTCTCCGTCCACCCGCCGGCCCTCCATGGGTGGTTTTCCTTGCTCTCTCCCGCCTTGTTCCAGGGCCAGTCCCAGGGGGTCCCTGGCCATCCGGGTTGCCCCCCTTCTGCCCGGGTAAGGAAGGCGCCGTCCGAGGCTTCGTGTCCCCCCCAACCAGGGAACGATTCCTGAGGGGGAGCCGAGATCCCCATTTGGGCAGAGGAGGAACCCCCCACCACCATGCTCAGCTCTGGCCAACCTCAAAGCGGTGGCTTCCTTGAGGGAGCCCGTCCATCTCGTGTTCGGCCTTCATCTTCTCCTGCCGGCTGTCCCTGTTCCCCGCAGCCCTTTTTCCCTTTGGGTGGACGGCTAGACCCAAATATACAAAATCTTCTAATATTTCAGTTTCTTCATTGTCAGCGTTAAAGCAATGCCGCTTTTCTGCATTCGTGTGTCTCCCCCCCCCCCCCCC